TCAGCTACTATACCAGATAAAGCATATCCATCATCACACATGTATCTACTGGACAGTAATAATATACAAGTTGGGGGGCCAACTGATGAAACGAATATCTACAGGCCAGAGTTGGATGAACTCAGGCACAAAGACTCAGCAAGTACTCTGATATTTTATTCATTTAGAATCTAGATTCTCAAAACTCAGTTCTATAAAATAGATTGAATACTGCAAAGCTAATTGAGATCAAATAAAATTTATGCAAAGTATCCACAAAAATAAGTACATAAAGTGTTTACAGCAGAATAGCTAACACATAGTAAATATTTAATAACCATTAGCTTTCTTCTGCAATATGGGTGAATAATTTCTTAAACTTTGATCTCAGTACTTTTTAAAACTAGTTGAGCAATTACACAAGTACCAGTTTGAAAACAGAAAGCTAACATCCTACTTGCTCGAAAGACTACTGAACTCCACATCTTATTCAATACTTGACCCTACTGGTTTTATCCCTATGAAGCACTCTCTTACACTGGTTTCTGTAACAAGTCAGTATTCTCTAGGAGTTCAGTCTCCCAATAAAGTTTTCATATATGAGGTTAGTATGGTTCAACTTTTGTCTTTTTTCAAGTTATATTCCAACCCCTAGGCAATTTCACCCATACCTATTTAGGTAATTCTGATTTTCTATTGGCAACCCATAACCCTCTTTTGAATTTTAGAACTATATATCTAAAGTGCTACAAAAATACCACTTGAAAGATCCAAAGGCACCTCAAAAACCCAGTGCTTTAAAACCAAAAGAACTTTAGTCCTTAGTGGGTACCACTCTTAACCTAGTTGTATAAAGTCATTTTTTGAAATTTCTTTCTCTCACATCTACAATCTACAAGTGCAGCCTATTAATCTCAAATTCAATCTACTTAACCCATCTCCAAGATTTTCCTAATCTTCCTAATTAAAGCTATCTATATCTCTCCTAATCTTGAGTCTTCTCCCTTTCAATACATGCTACCAGAATCCAATACACATCACCAAAAACCTCATTCTACCTACTCAAACTACTAAAAGTCTAGGCCAGGTGGAGAGGTTCGTGCCCGTAATCCTATTTGGGAGACTGAGATCAGGAGAACGATGGGTCCAGACAAGCCAAAGAAAAAAGTTAGGGTCATCCCAGTTAAAAGAAAAGAGAAATCAGTTCCCTCTTAGCTCCAGGCTAGCCAAGACATAAACAGGCCCTATTCAAAAACTAAAAAAGGCTGAGTGTAAGGCTCAAGTGGTAAAGTGTCTACCAACCACACGGTCTTAAATTCAAAACCTAGCACCTCAAAAAGAAAAATGGAATTCAGTTTCTAAATGATACAATTTTTTTAACACTAAGTTACATCACTCAAACTAGCAGAGCATTCTTAGTTTCATGTAATTTCAAAGTCACAAAATGTCACTCTCAAGACTTGGCCCTTGTATGTGGACATAGTACACATGTCTGATGTCTGAATGTAACAGTTCATATAACTCAGTAAGATATGATTAATCTAAAGTTTCAATGACAATGATCAGTTTTAATGTTTATTGCAAAAAGCATAGTAATCTACTGAATATCAAGTACCTACACTGTTCACATGCTTAGGGATAAAACAGTGACAAAATGACAATCTCAGTGAATAAACATAACAAATATAATAAGCTAAGTTAAATTGGCAAAAGTATGTAGGCAAAGTGAAAAAATGCTACAGAAAAAAAAATTCTAGCATAAAAAGGGTAGGAAATGGAGAGAAATAGGACCATGGTTTCATACAGAGAAGTCAGAGAAGACCTCAGTAGCCTAGTGGAAATGTGGCTTGAGAAAAAGGGTGACAAGATAAAGCAAGAAAGAAACTCGAATATCTTAGAGCTTTGTAGGCCCTAGTAAAATATATGCTTTACTAAGACTAAGAAGGGAAGTCACTGAGAAGTGACAGGATCTAATGAATTTTACAAAGCTCACTCTGGGCAACTGAGTGTTAAAGACTATAGGTTAGCAAAGGTCATAATGTTTTCAGGAAGTTATTTTGTATGTGAGAAATGGTGGTATTTTTTACAATTTATAGTGAATTTTTATGTGCTACGGATATAAAAAAAAGAAAGAAAGAAAAAAAGCAAAGCCAGAGGCCAACAGCACAAGCCTGAATCCTAGCTGCTCAGAAGGGTGAGATCTGAGGATGAAGTTTTAAGCCAGCTTGAACAGGAAAATCCTTGAGACGCTTTTTTTGTTGTTGTTGGTCAAGGAGCTTGAACTCAGGGCCTGGGCACTGTCCTTGAACTATTTTGCTCAATGTTAATACTCTACCACTTTGAGCCACAGTGTCACTGCCAGTTTTCAGGTAATTAATTGGAGATTAGAGTGTCATGGACTTTTTGTGTCTGGGCTGGCTTTGAACCACAATCCTCAAATCTCAGCCTCCTGAGTACCTTTGGGATTACAGGCATGAGCCACCTGTGCCCAGCTTTCCTTATCTCCAACTAAAACACCAAAAGCCAGAAGTGGCTCCAGTGGTACAGAAAGAACACTACTAGCTGGGGAGGGGGGGAAAGGGGATGAGTAGGTTTCCAAGCCCTGAATTCAAGCCCCCAGGATAGCCTTACTGACCCCCCCCCAAAAAAAAAGGCAAGCTAAGTCTTGAGAATAGCACAGATTTTAACTCTGGGAGTCGTCTCAGTGCTAGTGCAATCAGTTCTCACTACTGAGACATACTGCTCACAAGGTTCAAGGCTACTGATTATCCTTAGCCAAAGAATATACTGAAAATTTATTTAAATAGGAAAGGTAAGTCAAGATCCAACCTACACCATTGGAAGACAAGAACAGATGCTGACAGAACTTGAAGGGAAAGTTACAATGAAAATTACTCTATGACTGACTTTATCACTTTCTTAGGTCTACTACATTCTTGAGTTAGGGTTTTAAGTTTTACAACTTTCAGTGTTGTACCTTAAAAGTTCAACACAGTTAATGGGTAATGTAGCATTGTACTTTCTTACTGCTAAAGCTTTTATTGAAGGTTAATCAACAGCATCAAGTAATTGAACTGATTCAAGTGCTCTAATTCAAAGCCACTAATTCAAAAACACTGCCCCAGTACTGGTTAATTTCAAAGGAAAGTGAACTTTCCTTTATTTTCAATCTTAACCAATGAACCTCATTAGCAAAAGTATTAGGGAAAAAACTTAAATTTCCTCCAAGAAATTAAGTTAATAACAGCTTTCTATTTTCTCTTAAAGCATTTTTCTCCATCTGACATACTCAGTATTGTCTTAACTGCATGAGCACACTTATAGTAGAGAAACATCAAATTTTACCACCGCTCTAATCCTAAAATGTACTTAAAATTCTCAAAGTCACTGGGTGTGAAACCAAATGTTGATATATTTATAAGTCCCAAGAAACTGACAACTTTTTAAAAACTCAACTGCATAAACACAATCAAAATAAATCTGAATTATCTTTGGCAGGATGATATAATGAAATTCAGAGACAGTTTGAAACTTTCCTTTCTGTCCAGCCAGTTACAACAAAAATTAAAGGCCTACAAACTTTCCTGCAGATTTGAATAGAACAGTAAAAAAAATTAAGCTAAGTTCCAAAGAAAGAAAATCAATGATGGCCTGGAAAAAGACTTGATCACACATTAAATATCGCAAAACAAAAATGCAACAGTTATTTAGTCATGGCAAGTAGTCCTATCCATGAAATTAACTTCTTTTAAAACAAGAAAACGGCATTCACTCACGTACTTTTCCCAAAATTCAGAGGAAATTTCCAAACTAGGGTAAATTTAAGATCACATCGACCAGTCAAAGCATTAAGGACTTTCTCATCGGTTTTGCTTCATGATTTTTTAGTATGTTGATAGTACAAGAACGTTCGTCAAAATGCAATCCAAAATGATGGACGCCGCTTAGCCCGTATACTCGATAATCTAAAATACTGGGTATTTTTTAATCACCGTTTGAATCTGTGAATGTTTTAATCGAATACAATCAAGTCTTTTAAAATATTATTCAAAATATGTGGGGGATGACAAGACCTCCAGCCCTGTGTAAAAGAGAACGAAACTCCCAAGTGTTGTACCATTTTTCCCAGATCTGAGGATGTGAGGGGGAGGGGGGGCCCCGCAGGGATTAGGGTTAGTCTGCACCTCCACGTACCCCCTTTCCCCACCCCCAGTAGTTATTAGGGCACACACAGCAGGTCTCAAAAGATGGGGCCAGGGTAAGTGGCAGGAGGAGCTGTAACTTCAGGGCAGGAGGGGGGTGGGTATAAAGACCGGTGCACTGAAGCTCCAGGTCTTCCCATCCGCGCGCACGCGAGAGGTCACTGCGTGGTAAAGTTTGGTTTCACGAGCGGCCCTCCCTCGGCCTCCGGCGACAAAAGCAGAGTCGACCCAGGGAAGCGGACGCACCGGGGTCGGAGAGCGTCGGGAAGCTCAGCGGGGACGATGTTCCCCGAGGCAGAGAAGGGGGAAGGGGGCTTGGCCGGGGTCTGAGCGGGGACCCTGTTCCCCACCCCCTGCCCCCCCCCACTAAGGCCCTGCACCCCGGCGAGGACCGGCATCGCCCTGGCGCAGGCAGCAGGAAGGCGCGTAGGCCACAGGGAGGAGAGGGGACAGACAGGGTCGCTTCGCCGGGAGTGGGGGGGGAGGGGAGACGAAAGCAAAATGGGGTCCACCCCGGCTGCAGCACCCCCCCCCGCCGTCTCCCTTCCCGCCTGGAAAAGCGCCTCCAACTTTTCCTCCAAACGCATGACGTCGCCTGGGCCCCGCGAGAATCCGAAACTTTGTCCGCCCTCCGCCGCCGCGGGGCCCG